ATTGTCCATGATGGATAGCAGCTTACTGAGGGCCCTTTTCTCTGCCACCAGTGGAAGGGACTCCAGCTCTGTTCCCAGCACAAAACTAGCTTTCCTCACCAGCTTGTCAAGTCGCTCCTCTTCCTCTCACTGTACAATAAATGATCTTGTTATGGCCATGAATAATTTACAAATTTTCTTTTGTTCTTACCCACACTTTAGTGCCAGGGTTTATCATTATAAGTCATTGTAAAGTTAAGCTTTAGTCTAAAGGTCAGTGTAACCCAGCTGTATCTGATCATTTCTTCTGACTTTCCCTTAGAACTACCTACGAGTGGCGCTGCAGGAGCTGAACAGTGGCTGCACAGCCAAGACTCTGCAGGTCCCACCTTACGCCACAGTGGAGGACGTGTGCCAGCTGTGTGCCCTCAAGTTCCAAGTGCTGGACCCCGAGAACTATGGCTTGTTCCTGCAGATGGATGGCAGCAGCCAGCAGCTGGCTCCAGACACCCACCCTCAGAAGATAAAGGCTGAGCTCCACAGCCACCCAGAGACAGCTCCCTTCCTCTTTGTTTACCGACATTTAGCTAACAGTGGCATTCACTCCAGTGCAACACCCAACAACAATCACCTCACCATGACCCCTGACCCCAAAGACAATCTGAACCACCAATGCACAAACCTGTCCAACCCCTCCCCAGAGCCCAGAATTGGCTCAGACCTCAGCCCTCCATCCAGACACCTCAGCAGTGTCTCCATCTCTGGTCAGAGCATGTTACAGCCTGAACAACCTGTCTGTCTTAAGATGTCTTCAAACACACTTCCATGAGTCAAGACATACACATCATGTTGACAGGGTCCAAAACAGCACGCTTTGCTAGTCTTCATAAAGACCAACTTCTCCTTTCAGACCTGTTTCAGTCAACGTCCCCTCTCTGGAAGTTCTGTCTGACAGACTCAGGTGAAAGAGGAAAAGAGTGGAGAGAAGGAAACGAGAGAGATGCATTTATTTTTACTTTGCCTCCAGATATGGCATCAGATCGGCACCTCTGTGAGTTTTGCCCTCACAGTGCAGGCTGCTGTGTTGCCACCTTCACAGTACCTTTATACAACTCTGACAGTAAATCACCTCGTGTACAGATCATGATGCATGATTTGAGTGGAAGAGACAAATTAGATTTCCTTCTCACAAATGCTGTTAAACTGTTTTTTTGTTGTTGTTTTATGTTAACACTAGATTGTCTCTTGAAAAGAATTTGGTGACACCCAGTGGTGACCAATGGATATGCTAGCATGTGGTCTGCTTGAGACTGGGCATCTGCTGGACAACATTCAGAAGCAGAAAATAAGAACTCAGATGTACAACAACTACTGGTACCCGAAAATATTGTATTTTGTCTGAAAGACAAACAGGATAATTTAAACCTGCTGAAATATTGTTTTATTTTTCTCAGTAGAAATGTGTGCGTAAAACCTCAACACATCAACAAGGCTCACAGAAAGTAGCCAGCTATTTCAACTGAAATACAGTCATGTCCTGTTTAATAAGAACAGAAACGTTTTCCCAGAAATAAATCTGACACACTAAATGTTGAGCAAGACGAAGCCAGCATGTCGGCTGATCTGACCAACAGCCCTCAAAGTCACATGAAAAACATAACCTGTGCTCCAAATCATCCCTTTGACTGCTTTTGTGACCAAGAAAAAAAAAATCACAATATTTTTATTGAGCTATTTCAAGAAAAAAAAAAGATGTACAAATGACGTTATACAGTATGTGTTGGTAATGTTTCTGTAACCATAGCTGATTATTTTCAGTAAGAGCCCAACATGAAGCTGAAACACAAAGATGTGTCATTTACCGAATCTGTTCTTATTCATGAACAAGGTTTTCTTCTGGCAGTTCAGTTTGTGTTTGGTACGAAGTAGAGAGGTTGTCTTTGGGTTGAAACAGCTTCTTGAACTAGTGATAAATACAACTTTCGAGGCATTTGCTTAGAAAATAGCATTAAATGTGAATAAAGTGCTGTTTTTAAATGGCAAAATAACAGCCTGTTAAACAATTCTTTATTGTCACTGTTGATCAATGATCTATCGATAAACTTTTGAAAAATTAAAAGTTCATTAAATACAAATGATACCTCCCAGCAGCATGATGTGTCACATGCATAGATATAAACAGCACAGAAAGTGAGGATATTAGTGTTTGACCCATTTGGTTAATAATGCCTTTGGTAATAAAAGTAAGGACTTGTGGGTTTAACAGCAGAGCATGTGGTTTGTGTTAATGAACAAACTCGCCCAATCTTCAACACAAATCTAAACAAACAGGTTTTACAACAAAGTAAGATTTATCACCAAGAAGCATTTATTGCCCAGAACATACCAATGAAATCATCAACCAAACACAAATGTCCATAATTTTTGTGCTGTTAATGTCTCACAGTTGTCACATTATAGATTGAAGCTCAGTAAAGCAGCCAGATGAAGGTTGGTCCTCTTTATTGAGTTAATTTGCTGTCATTACTCTCTTGTATGGTACGCAGCGTCCTTCAAGTTCGCTGCAGAAGTCTTTAAATCTTTAGTGAAAATGTTACTGTAATTTAAAATTCCTGCAAATCAAGTTCAATTCTCTCTCAGTAAAGCAACAATAAACTTGTGACTTCCATGTACGATTTTATTTATTTGATGAAGTGATGACTTTTATGTGCACAGTGACCGAACACGTCATCTTCCACAGTTTACCATCAAATCCTTCCTGTTTTCATTTCGAAGAGCATGATGTTGTTAAAAGAAGCATGTTGTGTTGGCAGGGGGAAGATGTGATACTTCATTATGTTCTGATCCTTGTGAGCCATCTTGTTCTGTGTCATTTGAACTGAATGTTAATAAAATGTTTTGGTGTCTCCGGGACCAGAGCAGCTGGCTGGGTGTTCCTTCAGCAATGTTGCCCTTCAGCGTATGTGTGTCTGCCTGCAGCTGCAGGGCTGGTTCGGTTGGTTCCTTTAAACACTGAGCTGAGCCCAGAGGGAGGGGAGGGCCCCTGACAAGTTCCTTTTTCATCTCAGGAAGGGAGAAACAGATCAGAACCGAGACAGAGCAAGCTTGGGGACTTTCAGTGCATCGACATTCTGTATTCTGACTGTTCTCCACAAAACTTTGTGTTATTAAACTTGGTGAAATCTACACCCGATCATCTGTGAATCAATTTTTTTGTACGACGGTTTGGTCCTGCCAGCAGGGTCCCTCTCGTGATATACTGAACCTTGGGTCAGACATCTGATCAACCTGGAAAAGGACAACTTCCAGCCCTCAACCTCAACTGTAGATCTGCAGAGAAACGAGGGGCTGAGTTTAGACGTCCGTGATTATCACCGCTGGGACCCAACAGACTGATTCCAAATTGACCAAGTGAAACAAATAAAGTCTACGAATATTTAAGGGGTCTCACTGTGGGGCTGAAGGGGCTTGGAGGGTTCTTGTGTGGGTAGGAAAGTCCATGACTGTGGTTAGGATCTGAAATTCCTGGTCAGAAAGGGTTAAACCTCCTGAAATTAATCAACCTTTATTTATACAGGTAATTCCCATTGAGCCTCGAGGACTCATTTACAAGAGAGACCTGATTTCAACAAAGAAAGATGACAACAATGGACAACAGCAACAACCATAAACAGTTATAAAAAAAGCATACTACAGTTTTTTTTTTTTTTATAACAAAAAGGATGGCTAAAAGGAAAAGGTAACAAAACAAAAAACAGCTAGATTCCAAGACAAATGTAGAAAACTAACAACAGGAACATGTCAGCATTGGACCCTGCCAGGTGTCCAACAGATTCTTAAAGACACTTAAAGAGGTCAAGGTCGAGAGCTTCAAATCTTTTTGTAAGATATTCCAGGAAACTGGAGCGGAGTAGGAGAAGGCCCTTTTGCAAAGTTCAGTCCTCATTGAGGGAACACTGCAGGTAACAATGTCCTGAGAGCGCACTCCGTAGCTGCACTCACGCAGAGACATGTAGGAGGAGATGTATGAAGGCAACAGACCAAGAAGTGATTTAAAGATGAAAATGTACCAGTGGGAGAGTCTGCGTGAAGTTAATGATGTCCAGTTAACCAGTGAATACAGGGTGCAGTGGTGGATACGATAATCACAGCCAGTTATGAATCTTAGTGCACCATGATAGACAGCATCCAACATCTGCAGGGTTCTTGTAGGAGCGTTCATGTAAATAATGTCACCATAATCAATGGAGGGAAGGAAAGTCACAGATACAAGGCGTTTTCTAGCATTCAGGGTTAGACAGGATTTGTTTCTGAAAAAGAAACCCAGTTTAACTTTCAATTTCTTTATCAAGTTTTCCACATGGAGCTTAAAAGAAAGATGTGAGTTGACCAAGATACCCAAATATTTATAGGAATCAACAAACTCAATGGGGACACCATTTGAGATAGAATAGGAGGAAGAACTGCTGGGACCAACTTCCTATTTGAAAAAAGCATCCCTTTGGTTTTGTCGGCATTTAGGACAAGTTTGAGGCTAAACAAATCAGTCTGGATGATGTTGAATGCAGATTTCAAAAGCTGGAAAGCCTTAGCAACTGTTTTAGCTCGACAATAAACAACTGTGTCGTCAGCATAGAAATGTATGGATGCATTAGGGATATTTTTACCTACATTATGTATATAGATTGTAAAGAGGGTGGGTCCTAAGACTGAGCCTTGTGGTACACCATTGTTGACTGTTAAATAACTGGAGGAAGTACCATTATGTTGAACACATTGCCTCCGGTCTGAAAGATAGTTAGAGAACCAACCAATGGTGTGATCTGAGAAACCGATTTCTGAGAGCTTATGGCACAAGATGTTATGATCCACAGTGTCAAAAGCTTTAGACAGGTCTAAGAAAAGTGCAGCACAATAATCCTTAGCATCCAGTGCTTCAACAACGTCATTAAGAACCTTCAGTGAAGCAGTGGTTGTGCTGTGTTGTTTCCTGAAACCAGATTGATGTGGAGGTAAGATGTTAAATGAGTCCAGGTAATCTTTGATTTGAGAGTTTATCAGTTTTTCTAGAACCTTGGCTAAAATGCAGAGTTTAGAGATTGGTCGATAGTTGTTCAGTGAGGTGGGGTCTCCTCCCTTCAGCAAAGGAAGAACAAAGGCTGTTTTCCAAGTGTCTGGGATGGAGTTTTGTCTTATGGAGAGATTGAAGATGTGGGTCACAGGGACTGTGATGATATGAGCAGCCAGCCTTAAGAAATAAGGTGGAAGTTCATCTGGACCTGCAGATTTTTTAGGATCAAGATCTTTTAACAGTTTATTGACCTCACTGACTGAGAATGGAGAAAAAGAGAAGCTGTGATTAACTGAGGATTGACTTGTAGGAGGGATTTGATTTGTAGAAGTTAGGTTATTAAGTGAAGTGGCTGATCTTCCATTAGTAACTGTGTCAAATAAAGAACCAGAAGCAACAAAATGTTTGTTGAAACAGTTCAGGATCTCGTGCTTATTTGACACAGGAACAGAGTTAATGAGAAGTTGTGATGGGAGGTCAGATGATTGGGGGGTGCCTGAGAGAGATTTAATGGTTTTCCAGAATCTGTTAGGGTCATTTAGATTTTTGCAGGTCTGAGATAAGAAATAGTTGTGTTTTGCTGCTTTAACAGCAGTTGTGCATTTATTCCTCATCTGTCGAAAACTCAACCAATCAGTGTCTGAGTCAGATTTTCTTGCTGCGGCCCAAAGATGATCTCTCCTGTGCAGGAGGTCAGCTAGCTCTGTAGTAAACCAGGGGCTGTCTCGTCCCTTTATTCTGAACTGACGAAAAGGAGCATATATGTTCAGGAAATAAATGAAATTATTATGGAAATAGTTCCAAGCGGAGTTCACGTCATCAGTTAACAGAATACGATGCCAGTCAAAGTGAGACAGATCCCAGAGGAATGACTGTTCACAGAAATGTTTCAGATCCCTTTTTTGAATTAATCTGGGCTTAGAAGGTGGAAGTTTAATATTTCTTAAAGCCGCTGTCACACAATGATCACTCAAAAGATCAGCGAATACACCTGTACCAGGGAATTTGTGAGGCATATTAGTTAGAAATAGGTCTAAGATGGAGGAATTTTCAGGGTGGCTTTTATTTAATCTAGTGGGGG